TGGTACTGAAGCTACGTAGGATCTACTAAGAACCTCTATTAATTACACGGTCTTAATCTTCACCCGGTCTTAAAATGACATTTACTCTAGTACTAATTTTTACATGTGTTTTTACGTAGAGTCTTCCAGATTGTGTCATTCTTCCAGATTGTGTCATTCTTCATTTTAGCATTCTTCTAAAAGAAAAATTGAATGAAAATTGTACATGTATTCCCGCAACTCTATCATCTATGCAGCGACGGATGAGGGTGATGTGGTTCGGTTCTTTTGCAAGCCCTGGTAGCATTTCGAGCTCCGAGCACAACAAAACAGGACGTCACAACGACGGCCATCGCAGCTCCACTATCATGTAGGAGAGAAAATCGGTTCGTGGACTTTCATGCCGGTATCGGGCGGCAACTAAATACAAGAGCGACTTTGCCGCAGCAAAATTCGATTCAAGCAAAAAAGGCAGCTACTATGGTAGCTCCCAAAACGAAGAAGCCAAATGGGACCGGGCGATAGAACAAACACATCAGTCTTATTCTCCACCACCAGCACATGCTGCGATATCGTGGACTCGCTTTAGAGCATCTCCGACTAGAAAGAACTCAACTGGGATCAGGGCGATGGAACAGCAACAATTGATCTACTCCCATCCTATCTCCCAGACCTGAAAGCTGCCAAAAACACAACACTGACTTGCATATTGGCAGTTGAACCAAGAGCGCCTTGAATGATAGAACCAACCATTTGCATGTGCTTCCAGTCGAGCAGTTACCGAGACATCCAAAACACTGACGCCAACTGGGATTGGGGGGGGACCAAGCAAAACGATACTATAGTAGATCTACATCTGTACGCAACTACATCGTACCGTCATTCCTGGAGTTTTGGCTATGTTCAGACGTTTGAGAGCTCGTTTGAGCCAACTTTCTACAAACTGTGTTGTAAAAGATGCTGGAATGAATCAATCGAACGTTCCTAGCAGGGATCGCTAACAATTGTTAGGTACTGGTTACTGGTTATTGTTGAGTAACCAAAAGTTCTAGGTACTGGTTACCGGTTACTTGTTGGGTAACCAAAAGTTCTAGGGTACTGTTACCGGTTACTGGTTGGGTAACCAAAACTTTTGGTTATTTTATAGGTAAGTAACCAGTAACACTGGTTAGTAACCAATTGCAAGTGGTTACCTTGAGGTCTGAACATGCAGCGCAAGACTTTTGTGTTGTTTGCTTCCGCCCATGTCAATCCATCGCTGTTTCCTAGACATCCTTAGGATTTCGCATGCAGCAGAATCTCTCCTCTTCCTCTTTGGATTTACTCCAGCTCCTCCAGCATTCCATTGTGATATCCTCTTCCGTCAGATCTGGTTCTCCTTCTTTGCGTGGCTTGTTGAGGGATTTCACCTGTTCTCTGAAAGTCTCTTCGTCCTGTTCTGGCTTCCAGCAACCTTGCAACGCCACGAGGTGCCTGTGGTTGCGCATGAAGTGACGATTCTTGTACGTGAGAACCTTCATTTAAATGTGAAGTCGCCCTGGTTTGCCTTTAGCCTATCGTTCATCCATGTAGCTCCACTGAAGGTTCTCTCTTGATCCCATTACTGTGGGCAATGACAAGACGATGCAAGCAAGAGGTACAGAACGGGTGCCTCACCACATTGACTTCAACTACTTCGTCGACTGGGGCGTATATGTCTTCTTGTCAGGCTCCTTCCTTTTTCTTCTTCCAGTCGTCGTTCAGTTGCGTTGAACCAGTTGGCCTTCGACAAACTCGCATCGGCTCGGTTTTCTTCGGAGAAGTGACCTGTGCTGTTCTCGCCATCGCTATGCTCAGGGCGGCTCCAAATCGTCCATACCCTTGACTCGGACATTACGAAGCTAGCTGGACGGTAGCTTGAGGTGGCTAGCTACTACTAACAGCTGACGGTATGTTGGACGCAACCAAAGAGTAACCAGGTGGCAAGCTAGCTTGGACGATGGCTAGATAGCCAGTTGGACGTGCTTGGACGGTATGTTGGAGGCAACCAAACGAATAACCATTAACCAAATGAGTAACCAAACGAATAACCAAACGGACATAGGTTGCCCCTATTGGTATTGTTGGCGAATTTATGAGAGGAAACGGCAAGTTCGAAGTTCAGTAACCGAATGTAACAGTCGAAACGGTAACCAGTTCGATAACAGGACGGTCATATTATTGAGAGTTAATAACGATAACCGTAACCGGTCATAAATACCGGTAACCGGCCAAAGAACCAGTCGAAAACGACCCGGTTACCGTTACCGGATTGAGTAACCGTGTTCGCGAGTCCCGGTTGACGGTTACCGGTTACGTAACAAATCGAACAAACGGTAACAAATGTCAAATAACCGAACCGAAAGAACTGGTTAGCGAACCCTGTTCCCTAGCTGTAGCACTATGCCAAAAGGTTCCCGTAGAAAGTGGGTCTCCTAAATCAATTAAAGTGTGACAACATGCGTAGGGGAAGATTCACGACTTGATGTACATTAAGTCCTTACAAAGAAGTTGGACATAACGTTCGGAAGTCGGAACCAAGAAGAGAACAGCTGAGGGTCTTCTATTGCTCTAAACAGCGCTGACAGCACGTGGCTGGTAGAAGCCCGCCTACTACCGGCAAAAGTTGGAAAGATTTTCGTCTCTATGGCTACTCGTACCGGTCACTGAGTCCGTGTTGCATTGTTGTCCCGAATTTGGAAGATACTGGTAGAGAGGAGGATGGATTTGGCTGACGGGTCGCTGCATTCCAAGGATCCAACAAATAATGTGCCTAAAACTTGCTTAATCACCACTTTAACCACTATGGTATACCGGTACTCTTCCACGGACAGGAATCTTGAAGTGCAACTTTTTAGACCTTGGACCGCCACGATCACTAAAGGCTTCAGGTTAGGGAATTTTTCAAGTCGCCGTGCATGGGTTGCAAGGCAGTCTCATCGTAGCTTTGGCTCAATGCATTTTGGCTCCGCAATTTCGTTTCCATGTCTACTGGTGTCTTACGTGGCAGAGTCCAAATTCTTTTTATCTGCCGCGCCACAGTGCCAGCAACTCTTGAGAAGTACAGTCGTACTCCGAGTAAAGCTGTCAACCTGGCTACATAAATAGGATTGGAGTTTTGGCTGCTGGGTTGCTGGCTGCCGGCTGCCGGTACCATACTAGTTCCAATTAGCTGTTGTGCCCCTCTATCAAGCCTGCCATGCGCCAACTGTGACTGGCTTCTCTTTTCTTGCTCCTCGACATAATGGGTGGCCCCGGGCTCTGGCCCCTTCCCAGCTCCTTCTCACATCGAACAGCGCGACCGAAAAGGTGAATAAAGGCTAGAAAGTCTGAACTGTGATTCAGACTACTAAGGCCTTAGAGTTCATTCTTAATTCATTTAAAGACAGCTCAGACAGTTTTCCAAACATAGTTGCTGAACCAGAAGGGTGCCAGACTTTAGATGGACTGTACAGGGTTTCCTGACTAGACTTCACCCCAAAAGATAAAGGTGCAGTGTCTTTCGTAAATCCACCAATTTAAGAATGCGTCGATTTAGACGACGATTGGGTTCCTCGATCAGCTATGATCTAGATCCATGCTTCCAGGAAAGTCTCGTTGAGTCCATGATCATAAGTATCGGGTGGATTGACTGTTGACCAAGAGTACATCACGGACCACGCGAAAAGACAGCGACAAGACCCATCGATGTGCCACCTGCGACAGACAAGAAAATTCTTATTTGTGCGTTGCTGATTTGAAGAAAAGGATTAGGGAGTCAACCGGGGGCAGTGAGAGTTTAAGGTTCGAAAGCCTAATGTTTTAGATAACAGTAATGAATCTGGTCATAGATGGGTCAGAGTTCATTGCTCGAGTACATGTCCTAGTAGTTTACAAAGACCTCAATGTTTTCCCCATGACAGAGGCATCTCAGATTGGGATAAAGAGTGGAAGTACACTCATCTTTCATTTCTACAATGAAAAGTTTGCATGGTAGCACTCAGAAACTATTCCATCTTAAAATTAATTATTCGTGAGAGGAAGCCTGAAGCAGTTTGGAGTTTTATTCAAGACTTATTCAGAAAGAAGTACACTTCCTGGGCAGATAAGTCAGGTGACAAGAGACAGAAGGAAGGCTAATAGACAAAGAAAAGGGGGTTTAGAGTAGGTAGATTCTATCTACGGAAGCCAGCGAGCGCCAAAGCTTAAGCAAAGAAAGTCAAAATCAGGATAGGTTCCATGGGATCGGGGGGTAAATTGAGGACCATTGCAGGGGCCACAGGGCTTGACATGATCTACCAGAGCTAGCTAAATACAGTGTAGCTTTTGGCTGCATCAGCTGCATAACTACTTAAAACATTCAGTCACTTTTTGCTAAAATCGTATAACATCACAAGATCTTTGTTAGGGGGGTCAGTGCCTACCTTCTTGCTTCGAATATATACTGGAATTCTTAAACTTTAACAATGTCTGGTCAAACTCTGCAAAGGAAGAGTTGTCAGGAATTTTACAGTACCCAGCTGAAGAAATCATGTGAAAAGGACAAATCAAGCAGAGACATTTTGAGCTCGTGAAGTTCCAAGTCTTCGTGGAGCCCTGGCATTTGTTGAACCTAGTGTGGACACTATTTCAATTGCCAATTTGCCGAGATGTCCATGTGTGTTTCAATATGAAGTGCAAGCCGTGTAGTTAAATCTACTTCGGCTGGAATGTTGACGAGTACACCCTCAACCATGAATGGAATGATTCATTCGACTCTCTCCTCACTTTCTTCGAGCTCTCCGAGGATTGGATAATCATCATTCACGAACCTTTGGGCTTCATCAGCTTCCAACAGCAGCCTCCAGCAGCTTTATGCGGTAACTATCTTGCTTTAGCTTGAAAGAATCCAGAGAGAACACCAGAGCAAAAGCCCAAAGGTGGCTTTGAGCTTTAATAAAGCTGTTCATAAATTGCAATCAGCAAATCTTTACTTGATGAACATTAATCCGAAGCAAGGAACTGAAGAAACAATGCAACTAATAATGCAACGAGACTATCTTTGGCAGCAGCTTCCCCCGGCCCCCACCTCCATTTCTGAGCGCTTGTCCTTTCCTCACATGGATCCCAATCATTTCCCTTCGAGGCTTCATGAAATGCTTTGCGACATCGACATGAATGGCAGAGGGGAAGAGAGAATCGTTTCATGGCAGCCTCATGGCAAGTGCTTTTTGATCAAGAAGAAGGATGAGTTCATTCAAAGAGTAATGTCAAGGTAAGCACTCACTGGTCTGGAAGGTCTGTTTCTTCGGGATACCAATGCACCCAACTGACTGTCGCTCTGTCGAACGCTTTCTCTTTCGATTGCTTCCACCAGATGAGTTTGCCGGCTCAAGGTTCACGGACCTTATGAACGGCAAATCCACAAGCATGGATTTCGCAAGCTGAGCCGCAAGGAAGACAGCATTGGCTTACTATCCACTAGGAATCCACGTGTGGTGGCTTCTAGCTAGCTAGTTTGCTAGGAACCTATCATCTGATCTAATCTTTGCATCCATTTCTGCCCTTGCCAACTTACCAGGTCCTGATCAAGGAGGTAAGAAACACCAACCTAGCACGTAGATACATGTCTGATGTTCTTGTTTGCTAACACCGCCATCTTACATACCCCTGCCCTCCTCTTTTCAGCTTATTACCATCCTGACTTTGCCCGTGACACGCCAGAGAAGGTTACCACTATCCACCATACCAACATCCGAGGAAAGAGGGGCCGCAAGCCCAAGTCCAAGCTCACGGAACCTGACTTTTATGCAGCCGAAGCCAAGATTGCAAGCCCTGAATTGTCGAGTCAGGAAGCGGGCAAACAATCCAGTGCCCCTGCCCCAATGGGTTCCTTGTGGTTCGAACAGGTTACTCCCAAGGCCAGCAGCAAGGTGGCTACACTTGCCAACGTTGAAGCTCAGGAGCGGCCTCGATCTCCCCTTGACGGCAAACTGAGAACAGGCGCCTCCCTGTTCTCAGGAGAGGCCAACAGCATTCCCAGTCTGCGACCATCCGGTCAGCCTCTCTTCTCTGGTGGACTGCACCATGACAGTTTGGCGGCGGCCACTGGCGCCTCCATTCAGTCCCAATTGTCAGGGGGCATCCTTCAGCAGCAGCAGCCACTTCAACCTCTTCCAGCTCCCTCGTTGAGACGTGGACTCTCGGGCACTGGTGCTACAGACGACGTTCACGGTCCTCCTGCTCCTCCTCCTGCCCTGGCAAGGCAATCCAGTGATTTCTCCATTGGAGCATTTAGCCTTTTTGGAGGCCTTGCTGAATCGTCTCCCGAAGAACCTACTTTGGAGAGACGAGACAGTTCGGGCCTTGGCGGTTCTTCAAGACCCTTTGCGTCGCCTCAGCCATCCTCCTTGGCAGCGACTTTGCCAGTGCAGCTTCCCTACTCCGAGCACCGAGAACGGTTAAACGATCTCCTCCAAAGGAACCAGCAGCAGCAGAGGAGCCTTCAAATGCAGCAACAGCAATTGGAACAGCAACGGTTGGAGCTTCAACTCAGGGAGCAGCAGCAGCTGGACGTTGCTGGAAGCAGCTCGGGCTCACGTTCCCTTCCTTTGGAGGAGATCGTTTAACCGTTCTCGGTGCTCGGAGTAGGGAAGCTGCACTGGCAAAGTCGCTGCCAAGGAGGATGGCTGAGGCGACGCAAAGGGTCTTGAAGAACCGCCAAGGCCCGAACTGTCTCGTCTCTCCAAAGTAGGTTCTTCGGGAGACGATTCAGCAAGCCCTCCAAAAAGGCTAAATGCTCCAATGGAGAAATCACTGGATTGCCTTGCCAGGCAGGGAGGAGGAGCAGGAGGGACCGTGAACGTCGTCTGTAGCACCAGTGCCCGAGAGTCCACGTCTCAACGAGGGAGCTGGAAGAGGTTGAAGTGGCTGCTGCTGCTGAAGGATGCCCCCTGACAATTGGGACTGAATGGAGGCGCCCGTGGCCGCCGCCAAATTGTCATGGTGCAGTCCACCAGAGAAGAGAGGCTGACCGGATGGTCGCAGACTGGGAATGCTGTTGGCCTCTGCTGAGAACAGGGAGGCGCCTGTTCTCAGTTTGCCGTCAAGGGGAGATCGAGGGCGCTCCTGAGCTTCAACGTTGGCAAGTGTAGCCACCTTGCTGCTGGCCTTGGGCGTAACCTGTTCGAACCACAAGGAACCCATTGGGGCAGGGGCACTGGATTGTTTGCCCGCTTCCTGACTCGACAATTCAGGGCTTGCAATCTTGGCTTCGGCTGCATAAAAGTCAGGTTCCGTGAGCTTGGACTTGGGCTTGCGGCCCCTCTTTCCTCGGATGTTGGTATGGTGGATAGTGGTAACCTTCTCTGGCGTGTCACGGGCAAAGTCAGGATGGTAATAAGCTGAAAAGAGGAGGGCAGGGGTATGTAAGATGGCGGTGTTAGCAAACAAGAACATCAGACATGTATCTACGTGCTAGGTTGGTGTTTCTTACCTCCTTGATCAGGACCTGGTAAGTTGGCAAGGGCAGAAATGGATGCAAAGATTAGATAAGATGATAGGTTCCTAAGCAGCTAGCTAGCTAGCAGCCAACCACGTGATCCTAGTGCGATAATAAGCCAATTGCTGTCTTACCTTTGCCCGGAACATAACAAGCTTGCGGAATCCATGCTTGTGGAGTTGCCGTTCAAAGGTCGTGAACTTGAGCCGGCAAAACCATCTGTGGAGCAATCGAAGAGAGAGCGTTCGACAGAGCGACAGTCAGTTGGGTGCATTGGTATCCCGAAGAAACAGACCTTCCAGACCAGTGAGTGCTTACCTTGACATTACTCTTTGAATGAACTCATCCTTCTTCTTGATCAAAAAGCACTTGCCATGAGGCTGCCATGAAACGATTCTCTCTTCCCCTCTGCCATTCATGTCGATGTCGCAAAGCATTTCATGAAGCCTCGAAGGGAAATGATTGGGATCCATGTGAGGAAAGGACAAGCGCTCAGAAATGGAGGTGGGGGCCGGGGGAAGCTGCTGCCAAAGATAGTCTCGTTGCATTATTAGTTGCATTGTTTCTTCAGTTCCTTTCTTCGGATTAATGTTCATCAAGTAAATATTTGCTGATTGCAATTTATGAACAGCTTTATTAAAGCTCAAAGCAACCTTTGGGCTTTTGCTCTGGTGTTCTCTCTGGATTCTTTCAAGCTATTAATAGCACGATAGTTACCGCATAAAGCTGCTGGAGGCTGCTGTTGGAAGCTGATGAAGCCCAAAGGTTCGTGAATGATGATTATCCAATCCTCGGAGAGCTCGAAGAAAGTGAGGAGAGAGAGTCAGTCGAATGAATTCATTCATTCATGGTTGAGGGTGTACTCGTCAACATTCCAGCCGAAGTAGATTTAACTACACGGCTTGCACTTCATATTGAAACACACATGGACACGGCAAATTGGCAATTGAAATAGTGTCCACACTAGGTTCAACAAATGCCAGGGCTCCACGAAGACTTTGAACTTCACGAGCTCAAAATGTCTCTGCTTGATTTGTCCTTTTCACATGATTTCTTCAGCTGGGTACTGTAAAATTCCTGACAACTCTTCCTTTGCAGAGTTTGACCAGACATTGTTAAAGTTTAAGAATTCCAGTATATATTCGAAGCAAGAAGGTAGGCACTGACCCCCCTAACAAAGATCTTGTGATGTGTAACGGTTTTAGCAAAAAGTGACTGAATGTTTTAAGTAGTTATGCAGCTGATGCAGCCAAAAGCTACACTGTATTTAGCTAGCTCTGGTAGATCATGTCAAGCCCTGTGGCCCCTGCAATGGTCCTCAATTTACCACCCCAGATCCCATGGAACCTAGTCCTGAATTTTGACTATTCTTTGCTTAAGCCTGGCGCTCGCTGGCTTCCGTAGATAATCCACCTACTCTAAACCCCCTTTTCTTTGTCTATTAGCCTTCCTTCTGTCTCTTGTCACCTGACTTATCTGCCCAGGAAGTGTACTTCTTTCTGAATAAGTCTTGAATAAAACTCCAAACTGCTTCAGGCTTCCTCTCACGAATAATTAATTTTAAGATGGAATAGTTTCTGAGTGCTACCATGCAAACTTTTCATTGTAGAAATGAAAGATGAGTGTACTTCCACTCTTTATCCCAATCTGA